AGGCAAGCGCTTATTCTCCTGAGCTATCTCGCCACCCCCCAATTTAAAAAAAAACAACAACATTGGAAGGTATGTATGAAATCTGTCAAATGGACTGAGAGGGCCAAGGAATGAAGCCAGTTTGTGCTCACCTCCCAGGCAAAGCATTGTTCTGTGCAGGGGTCAGGGCCTGATGCTTGGTGGGTCGCACTCATTGCCCTGAGCTCTGAGGGCATCTTCAAGTTTTGCAATTCTTAATCTGATTCTTATAGACTCGGAAGGGAGTGGGAAAGCAATGAAGAGGGTGGATGGGGATAGGGGAAGAGAATATTCAAAGACATCTTGGGGTTCATCTGTCTCCCTGTTTTCCTACCAGTCTGATAGATTTCATTTCTTTCAGATCTATAGCTGGATCGATAACTTTGTAACTGAACATTCAGATATCGTCTCCAAAATTCACATTGGTAACAGCTTTGAAAACCGATCCATTCTTGTCTTGAAGGTAAAAGCTTGGGGACAGCCAGGAGAGGACTGTGACAGCCTGTGGCCTAAGGCTGAGCTCACTGGGGCAGTGGTGGGTGGGAGATTTGAGAAGGAAGATGTGTATACTCCTGTCGTTAGGTGACTCGTGAACTTTGAGATGTGACATTGAGGGAACCACCCTTGTCCTATGAATAGGTGACAACATGGTGACCAGGCAGGAAGTAGTGGGAGGGTTGCTCAGGAGTTGCAGCTACAGAATGGCAGTTGTCACCCTGGACCGGGGTTGTGAATATGAGTGAGTCAGTGTTCTTGTTGCCTTAGTTGCTTTATCTGCTAAATGGGTTAAGTTAGGTACAGAGAAGGTTCATTTGATGATGATGATGACTGAGGTCATCTGGTTCACGGAGCCCTACAGATAGGCCTGAATCTCTGAACAAATCTCTCAGCCTTTGACAGGTGCCCCTGACACAGGGCTTGAGTACACTTGGCCGCTGTAGTGGCCTTGGCATGAAGGAGGCAGGATGGGTAAGTGAAGAGCCCACCAGAACGTAGTCCTTAGCAGGTGCTTGAAAGGCACCCTTGTGCCCCTGAGGGCACTGGAAGTCAGGTGTCAGGAAAGATAAACCCTAAAGCCCTCAACCATGCTCAGTCGGATGCTCCTGAACAGCCTCATGGCCTTGTGTCACTTGGCCTTTGGCCTCCCGTTTCTGCTGCCATTTCCCCACGAGGTGCGGTAGTAGTCTCTCTTTAGTATTGTCTGAGACCTTGTACAGAGCATCCCGCCCCTTGGGGGGGGGGTGCATGTTAAAAATGCCAGTGCTCAAAACCTGTGACTGCCTGGCTGAATCAGAATCTGCATTTAGTAAGATTCCAAGGGGATGCATGTGCTTATTAAAGTTCAAGAAGCACTAGTCTTATGATGTTCTGGGAAATTCTGTGCTTCCCGCCAGATCTCACTTTCCTTCTGAGAGTAGCACGTATGTCCACTCCCACCCCTTGGGCCAAGTACATCTGGCCCATGGAGCCATGAGGCAGTGCTAGTGCACCTGGGGGCTCCTTCCAGGAAGCCCCAGCCAGAGCACCATAACGTCTGTAGTCAAATCTCTGTGGTTCTTTTGCCCAGTTCAGCACTGGAGGCTCTCAGCGCCCAGCCATCTGGATTGACACTGGGATTCACTCCCGGGAGTGGATCACTCATGCCACTGGCATCTGGACTGCCAAGAAGGTCAGCAGGGACCTGCATACGAGGGACAGCCATAATGGGAGCTGGAAGGGGCTGCTTGGATAGTTAAGGTCCCTTCCAGTTGAAAAATGAAACTTCATTTCCTCAAATTCAGGTTCTCTGTCCTTCCTGCCCCTTGGACCTAGGTGCTGCTCTTTGCGGCACAGAGCTCATGTCTTATGCTCTGCCTTCCAAGTTGTTTAAAATCCAAGTCTCTGGTTCTGGATGGTCCAACCCACCTCTTCCTGCAGCCACTGGCTGTGCAAAAGTCCTGCTCTACCTCCAGGGAGATCCTAGCAGGGCCTCCCATCCCTCAAGCTTTCTTGCAGATTGTCAGCGAGTATGGCAAAGACAGCATCCTGACAGACATGCTGAAAGCCATGGACATCTTCATAGAGCTTGTCACCAACCCTGATGGGTTTGCTTTCACCCACAGCATGGTGCGGACACATGGGAAGCTTGGGAATTAGGAGTCATTTCCGGGGGGGGGGGAAGTCCACATAAAGTCTCCACAGCCTCTGGAGCTGTCCCCTTTGAGGGTTTCACTGGGGACAGGAAGGATGCTCAGTACTGCAGTTGGCCTCTTTCTCTCTAACTCCTGCCCACTGCCCAATGGAGGCCACCATTGGCAGCCTGTGCTCTGGCCTTTCCCTAAACTTTGACTTCAACCACAACATATCTGACCTGAAGCCTTGGCCCAGGCCCATCTTGTCCGGGGGTTCTTCCCTCTGCTCCTCCCTGCCCCACCAGACCCCTCTTTGTCAAGCAGGATGACAGCACATCCATTCCCCGGGGAAGTGGGCCCAGTGAATCAGGTCCCCTGACCTGGGCTTTCTCAGAACCGTTTGTGGCGGAAGAACAAGTCCAGCAGACCCGGAGTCTTGTGCATTGGTGTGGATCTCAACAGGAACTGGAACTCAGGCTTTGGAGGTACATGAGCTGTGGTCCTGGAAGGTTCTCCCACACTGTCAGGTTGGATTGACTCATAAATTGGGAGGCAGGGACAGCACTGTGAGTTAATACGTGTGTCACTGCCAGGAAAGGCAGGTACATGCCTAGGATTGGCCCTGGGCTATGGTAGGGTTGTATGTGTGTGTCAAATGTATACATATACGAGCTTTCATGGGATTATTAAGGGAGCTCAGCTCCTGAGATGAGAACAGCAAAAACTGAATCCTAACCTGAGCAGGAGGTACAAAGTAGTCTTGCCAGTCATGCCAAACCCAGAGTTTACAGTGCATCTGAAATATTTCTCACCCTTTCCTGAAGGGAGCACAACCCAAGGAAATGTCCCTGAAGTTATTCCCTGAGAATTCTGGGCCAGGGAGATGGCTCAGTGGAATAAGCGCTTCCCTGGCAAGCGCAAGGGCCTGAATTCAATAACTGGTTCCACACACACACACACACACATACACACGCACACACACACACACACAAAAGAGAAAATTCTGATCTGAAATCTATCCTATGGAAAGGTCAAAATAATAGTTCCAGTATATAAGGAGCCAGATTCTTGCCTTCTGAGCTGACTTGAGCCTGGCTTTGATTTTTGTGGGCTGGTGGGCTGATGTGTGTCTGAATGACTGTATGAGCCCATCGCTGGGCTAAGGGGAGTTTGCTCCTGAGTGCCCTGCTATTCTCTGATTCTCTCTCCCTCACCACGCCATGGGCAGGGGGATTAGTTGAGGAAACTGAGCACTCCACAAAGCCCAGAGGCAATGCATGGACTCAAGGAATGTAACAGTTGGATGGGTGAGATGTTGGGACCAGCCAAGACAGAGTGACCAGAATACACACATGAACCTTGGCCTCCAGAAATGGTGTCTGCACTGTGTAGGGGCAGGTGGGGGAGTACTGTCCCAGAGGAGACAGTGTCATTGCTGTCGACAAATAGAACCATAACCTGGTGGTCAGACCCATGGTAGAGAACATTCTAGGTCCAGATGTTTGCGGCTTTGAAAACTTGGCTTCCTGAGGTCTGTTCTTGAAAACTAAGGGCCCTTCTAAAGCATTGGGATCGAAGCTCCTTCAACTCACACAGTGGCGGTGTCTGACAGTGTCTGTCTGTGTGTCACTTCTGCTGTAAAGGAGCAGGACTGTCAAACTAGGGGCCAGGAGATGGCTCAGTGGAACAAGCACTTCCCTAGCAAGTGCAAGGGCCCAAGTTCAATCCCAGGTTCCACCAAAAAAAAAAAAAAAAAAAAAGGACTGTCAAACTAGGCATCTCCACCTCCACATGACCAGAAGTTTGCTCTCGGTGAGCACCCAGGTGGCCCCACAGCACCAACTGCAGTCAGTGTCCACAGATCCTCAGCCAGCTCAGAGAAAGACAAATGACCTCTAAAAGAAAATAACTTTTGTGGGTTTCTCCACAGGGAAAAAAAAATCCCCGTGTGTGTGTGTGTGTGTGTGTGTGTGTGTGTGTGT